CATTTCCAGGTACAACTCAGCCAAGAAGGACAACGACTTCATCTATCACGAGGCTGTGCCTGCTCTGGACACCCTGCAGTCTGTCAAGGGTGAGGGGGTTGTTCCTGAGGAGCAGGGCATGGAGCTCAGGGACCCCTAGGGACAGGGGGATTCCCTTTGGGAGCAGTCCTAGCCTGGTGTGTGTCCCACAGGTGCTCCCTTGGTGAAGGCTCTCCCTGTGAACCCCACAGACCCGGCGGTCACTGGCCCTGACATCTTTGCCAAGCTGGTGCCCATGGCTGCCCATGAGGCCTCATCCCTCTACAGGTGTGTCTGGGATGGGGTGGAGCTGGGATGGGATGGGGTAGGGTGGGACAGGATGGAGCTGGTGTGGAATGGAATGGAACTGGGGGTGTGGAGCTCAGCAAGGACCCTATGTCCAGCTCAGCCTCCGCAGGCTGGAGGAGCTGGGGGGGACCACATTCACAGGCCACAGTGTGCCCCCAAGGGGTGGACAAGGGTCCCACAGGATTCCAGGGATTCCTGGTCCAGGTTCCCCTGTCCTCATGGAATGTTCTGTCCCATCGCAGCGAGGAAAAGGCCAAGCTGCTGCGGGATGTGATGGCCAAGATCGATGCCAAGAATGAGGTGTTGGAGTACGTGTGAGCCCCTTCACCCCTATGGAGGGTCCTGGTGGCCACTGGCCCCCATCTGGGTGTGGGGAGACACTGCCCCCCCTCAGGGGCTCCTCTCTGTCCCACAGCCAGTTCATGGACTCCATGCAACTGGATCCTGAAACTGTGGATAACCTGGAGATGTACAATCACATCCCTCCCGTGTTGATGGAGAAATGCGCTGCGCTCAGCGTGCGTCCGGACACTGTCAAGAACCTCGTCCAGTCCATGCAGGGTCAGGGCTGGGGAGAGCTGGGGGCTGCTGGGAACCTCATCCAGTCCATGCAGGATGAAGGAGTGGAGGGGCCCTGGTGGGGCTCTAGGGGCTGTCAGGAACTTTGTCCAGTCCATGCAGGGTGAGGCCATGGGGAGCCTGGGGGCTGGCATTGAGAATTACCTCGCCAAGGGCTGATTCTTTGCTGGTATAAATCCCCTGAATCCCAAACTTTTCCCCATTGGATGGGAGGGGGATGAGCCTGAGGGGGTGGGCATCCAGCACCCAGGTGTCTGGGCTACCATGTCCCTGCCCCTGGCTGGGTTTATTGCTAGAGTGCTGTGTCCATGCTTGGATGAAAGCCTGGAGGAGGCAGGAGGAGGCTCATGGTGGGACTGGGGGGGCTCTGGCTGAGTTTATCTCCGTGGTGCTGTGTCCCTGGCTCCAGCCCTGGAGCCGCCAGGAGGAGGCTCAGCCCTGCCCCCATGTCCCCTGCAGTGCTCTCGGGGGTCTTCACGGATGTGGAGGCTTCGCTGAAGGAGATCCAGGCCCTGCTGGAGGAGGATGAGGCACAGGAGCAGCAGCTGCAGGAGCTGCTGGGGAAAGCCCCCCCGGCCCCGGGCTCTCCTCCGGGGCTGGCTGAGGTCAGCAAGGAGTGTTCCAAGTACCTAGAGCTGCACCAAAAGGCGAGTTACACCAACACGGAGCTGCACCGAGCCATGAACCTGCACCTGGGCAACCTGCGCCTGCTGGGCGGCCCCCTGGAGCAGGTCCGGGCTGCACTGCCCACCCCCACACTCACTGAAGGTGAGCTGGGACCCCCTTGGGATGGCTGGGATCCCTCTGGGATGGGGGGAGGCAGGGCTGGGACTCCCCAGGGCGGGCTGGAACCTCCTGGCATGGCTGAGACCCTTCCCAGACAGCTGGAACCTCCCTGGCTGGCTGGGACACCCTCACTGGGGGAGGCAGGGA